GAAAAGGGAGATACAAGGAATGAATAGGGGAAAGGACTAAGAGAACCATAGGAGGTCTGTCTTGATAGATAGGAATAACAATAATAGTTCTTGAATTATTTTTGTAAGAATTCTATAGATTTCTATATCGTCTCTAACCTGCCATAATATATGGGGGTTTTGTTCTCATTTGGAAAAACTTAGTAACTTTGAAAAGATATGCTTTTGACAATATTTGTCTATTATTTGCCAGTTAACCGTGTTATTTGTGAGTTTCTTTGTTGAGAAATTGAAAGAGAGGAAATAGTAGTTAGTAAAAGAAGAGAGAGAGAGAGAGAGAGAGAGAGAGAGAGAGAGAGAGAGAGATAAAGGACAGGAATGGGGGTTGTTAAAGGCCAGGAATCACACAGTCACTCTTTTTTGATTCATAGCATACATTTTTCCTGGGTTTGCTGTAGGGTGTTTTCAAATAGTGTACAGATTTCCTGCTGATTATTGACTCTGCTTTACAATACCTGTATTTTGTCATAGTTTGTTTTCTACAATTGAGTTACCAAGTGATAGATTCTTTTGAAGTGTTCACTCTCCAAGAAGGCATTGATTCTTATTATGATGTGGCTTAATCCCAGATACTTCTAGTGAGGACTTCTGTTCACTGCTGAGGTTCAAATCTATAGCTGTCTATCCTTCCCTAAGCTATTCTTGCCAAAAGGAGAGATTTCACCAATATAGAGGAAGTCACCTATTGTAGTAATTAATTACATTTTTGTTTTTCTCACTTATATCTCTGCCAATACTTATAGCTTAGAATAATTTATCCTTGTTAAATTTCTGTAATATATTTCATTGTCAATTTTTAGAAATATTACTTGATTTTATACTGTCTGTACTTTACATAGTAAGATTTTGACACCAGAATGGCTTCTGCTTTTCCCTATATGATGCTATTTGTCCTCCTGAATTGTTTATATCCTTCCTGTAGACTCTAGTCTTCATGCTCTATATCCTACCCTTTCTTCTTTTAAGCACCTGACATCAAATGAATTCCAGCCTTCATTCAATGCCATGGATCTTATTTGTCCTTCAATTAATATTTTTAGGGCCTTTAATATTTGTTTAGAAGAATTAAAAGTCTGACTTGAATTTTATGTGAAATTGACTGATATAACAGTTTAGTCCCTCCTATTTTTCCTTAGATTGTCTAAAAATTTCCACATTACTCTTAACTGAGCATCTAAATATAAACCTTACATTTTCTTAAAAATTGGCTTTCCAGAGTTTTAAATTTAAAAATTATTTTTTCTATATTTATTTGATTTGGGGAGTGCTAAATTTGATCTTGTTTAATTCATCTTTCCTTAATTAATATAGTAAGCACATAGATTTCCTTTGTGCTTTTGCCATTAACTTATTAAAACTTTGGTTGCATTTGTTTTGGTTTCACTTATTAAATAAGGAAACTCTACTCATAAGTCTTGGATCTAATTATTCCATCTACTAACCAAAATGGAGCATTAGCTTCTCAAGTGTATCTCCATGGCACAAGGTGCCCTCCTCTATGCCACTGATGACTTTTTAACAAAATAACAACTATTCTGTGGGTCTCCTTGTAGTGCTCTGATAGATTTGTATCTAGTAGGAAAATCACACATACATCCCATAGTTATTATAATTCTAATCATTTATAATTCTACAATTCCTACAATGATATATAATTATTTCAGAATTCTTTTTCGTATTTATCAGATATCTTTATCAGCTATCTACCTCTGTGGGCAAGAGGGGTTAATGGGTGCTTCCAGCATTAGCTGGAAGGGAAGTTATATAAAATTATCTGTTTTCTTCCTTATTATCTGGAGGTAATCCTTACTATTTACTATGTTCCCTTTGAAACTGAGTGATTATTACATATGCTTTTGATTCAAAATTTTTATCACAGATAAAAATTATGCCATGTCATTCTGGCATACAAAATTCTATAATAAAAATTATTCACATATTCCTGAGTTTGACACCATAAACCATAAAACCACGAAGCTTGATTTATATCACTGAACTACATTAACTACTATCATAGTAAAAGTACCTTTGATGAACATTCATGGTTATTGGGGAAGAAAGAGTTGGGAAAGTGGCAGCAGAAGTCCTGGACAAAGTTACTTCTGAAGATGTATCCCTAAGTAGCTACCTGCAGAGATTTAGGAAGTTCAATTAAGGAGACAAGATAATGTACTTTTCAATGTGCTTCTCCTTGACTCTCAAGCCACTCCTCAGATCTATTTGGACGGCTTGTTCTGAAAGGTCTGGATTGACTTTGAAGACATTAAAATTCATTAGATATTTGAACTGGTCACCTTTTTACTGGGAAGTAAAAAGAGAATTTTCCAATATAGAATATTTTATTTTAATGAAACAACTAGAACTCAATATGAAGAATTATTTAATATTAACCTGCTACCAGAAATACTATATGGATTCAGGGAAAGACTTTATTTAATATTAACATAATATATTACCAGAAATGCTGTAGGGATTCAGAGAAAGAAGACTTTTGTATGAGCTAGAATTTTTTCAAATAATCTTCACACAACAATTAGGATGCTAGTGAGGCTGAAAGGAAGTATAAGCTCTGTATTGGTAAGGGAGACCACTGAAGCAAAGACACAGAGACAGGCTTCTCCTGGCATATATGCATCACACTGGAAGGAAGCCGCCTGATAGACAGGGGCAGTAGTTTGTGGACAGTGAGATATTGGGTTGCACAGTAATGGGTCAATAGATGTGGGATCTTGAATGTGAAATTGAGGTGTTAGAATGAGATCCAATAATTTAAAAAAAAAAAACAAACAAACTAGATCTAACCTGTGGAAAATACTGAACATTTTAGTAGAGAAGATGTGTTTTATGAAGCATGATCCATAAGAAGTACTCTATATGGATTAACACAGGAGAAGATGGGAGCATTTGCAATAATGAATCATGAGGCAATAATAAGGGTCTGGAATAAGGGAGAAATTTATTGAAAATTCATCTCATCTCCATCTACCTGCACTACTATCAGATATTAGTTCTCACTATTAACTGGCTACTATAGTAATATGGAAAACCAAGAAGTTTGAGAAGATATGATTCTAAAGAAATAAAAAACAAATCTCTAATATCTTGTTTATCTTTTTTTGTTTCACTTTCATTCTCTTAATAAATTTCAAAGTTGGGCAAAAATGAAATTAAAAAAAAAAAAAACATACTTGAAGAAGCCAGAAAGATCTTCTTCGCCCCCTTTCCTTACAGCAGTAAGGAGTTCCCAAATTAGAGGGGGGAATGAAGCCAGATTTAAAGTTAGGTAGTCAGTGTAGTTAGGTAAATCGGGTCTAATATCGAGTGAAATCTAAAATGGAGGCCTTGCTGGGAATGACTCAGGGAAAACAGGAGGACTCATGGAATGTTAATGAAGTCTTGAAAAGGCCCTAGGCCAAAGTCCACCTCAAAGAAGTGTTAATGAAGTCCTTCCTGCTCAGACTACTTCTTTGGCCCACCTGTGTACCACCCCTCGGGCCTTCCCACCTACATTCCATCACTGAAAGAACTATTAAAAGGGGAGACAACCGCACTTCCACGGATTCCACTTCTTGGGTCCCCTTCTTCCTCCGGGAGAAGTCTTTTTTGCTGTCCTTTAATAAACTTCTAATTTCTACTCTGAAAAAAAAATCATACTTAATATCCTCCTGGAAAACTGAATATGATTAGAGTCAGTAGGTTTAGAATATGTGTTTTAGTTTTATTCTATAACTCAAGATCTACTTGTAAAACTGGATCAATGATAACAGTTATTGTATAAGGGTAATATTTTTGTGATTTTTATATCACAAATTACAATAAGTTTATCTAGTGGGACTCCAGAACATCATTAGTCTTATTCATTCTATCAAATATTTTTTTTTATTTCAACTAAATACAAAAGCAGCAATCTATTTTGCTTTTAATACATTAGTTTAGGACAAAGTCCATTTTCCTTTTTTGTTATTCTTTTCTTCTAATGTTAAAACCCAGGATCTGTTTCTCTTTTTCACAGCATTTCCCGTGACTAACTTTCCAACAAAGGCCTTTGTGAAATCTTATGACACTATTGCTCTTGAAATGAGAGGAGGATTTAGATATAGACTTCGTTTTAAGAGGAAAAGTTATGTTCTAGGCTAAATACCTGGAAGATTGGGTTGGTTTAGAAACTTTTTTTTTTTCCTCTAAAATATTTTACTGTCACTCATTATCAGATATTTACCTCTGTGGGCAAGAGGGGTTAATGGCTGCTTACTGTCTCGAAATTTCATGTCAATTTAACCATAGGCAGGAGAGACATGATTATATCCCAAGAACAACTGTTGCCATCTTGAGCAAGACTAATGATATTATAAATAACACTACTATTCTGATTATTCCCAAATCATGCATGAGTCCAGAGCTGCTTTAAAAACTATTGTTTTTTTCCCATTTATTCTTCTAAATGGAAGAGTAGGATATATACAAATTATATATTTAAATTTTGAAAATATTACATAAAACACATTGTATATAAGAACAATTTCAAAACTTAGATATTCCTCTCTACCTTCAAACATTAATGACTATCATATCTGAATGACAATAGTAATTAACATTTCTAACACATTGTACCATTTTAAATATTTTAAATATGCTAACTCTTTAATGCTCACAATAACCATGTGAAGTACATATTTTATTACTGCCATTTTCAAGATGAGGAACCGGAAGCCCACAGAGGTTAAATGTTTTCCGAAGGAAGTAGCAAAGGTAATATCTGAAACCCCCAATCAGATTCATAAATCAACATTTGTAACTAATAGCTTGTAATTCATGTCAAACTCATCACAACCCATATCGAAATTCAATTTCGAAAGTGCATGCTAGTCTATTCTGCTTAAACAGAACTATTGTTGTGATCTTAATGGCTTAAAATGTAATTTTTAGAAATGTGTTTTAAAGTTATTTTCTTTCCCTTCTAGAAATATTCACTGAGCATCAGCTGTTCACTATGCTCAGTGCTGAAGACAATGGAAGCCATAAGGCAGACAGGTCTCTATGGTCTGATGGAGAAAAAATGACTTAAACCAGGATTTGCAAGACAATGTAATAAAGGGTATGATAGAAAAATAATGGAGACATCATTGAAGGCCAGAAGACTTTACTCTGTGGGGACTGATATGCTACTGAAAAATTTTGAGCAGGAAAATGACTCCAATGTACATTTTTAGTAAAGTAAACCTGCATTCAGTGAGGAAGATGCACTAGTAGGGAGCAAGATCTGGGGAAGGCCATGAATTTGAAAAACCAAAGTCTTGTAGTTTTCTACCACAATGCTATTTACAGCCTCCACCTCCGTGTATTTCCTGCCAGTCTACCCTTTCTGTACTCTTCTCATTCCACATGTGGGTTGCCCAGCTTTTAGCCCTGAGCGGACACCTTTGTGTTCCCTACACTCTATCCCAAATATTTCCACTTGAATAATCAAGGAAGACATTAATATGAGTAGAATATTCACACCAGCAAATGCAAGAGGATTAATCTCTTCAGAGATATCTTCCATTTCTGTTCTAAAGGTGTGAAAAGTAAGCAAGGGAGTGTGGGGAAAGAAATAGTCACATCTTACATTTATAGCACAGAAGAAATGAAACTTATTCTGGCTGCATAACCTGTTGACATACCGGTTTGAACTTGGAACTCTGCTTTTGTTCTTCCCTGCCCTTGCCATGCAGGTAGCCAGGGCTTTGTGCTACTTTCATCAGGGAAGGTTTATGTAGAAAGGGAGAACAGGAATGATTTGTGGTCCTCCTTTCTGGTCTTTGCTTTCAAGCATCCTGAGCCCCTTGGGGGATTTATAGCACAGTAGAAGGCAGAGCCTCTGAACACCATGCTCTAGAAAGAAAGGCCTGTGGAGTGAATTTAGAGACTGGACTCTGGTTGTGGGTCCTTAGTCTTTTCAAAAGCTGGAGTGGCAACAAAGAGCCACAAAACTGAACCCCGGGAATGGAATGTGGTAGGTCTGGGCATCCAGGTAGAGTGGCGACAGGGGAAGGGTTCCCATCTGATCAGCTGAGTGAGTCTCCTCAAGCCCAAGGAACATTGAGGAAGGACTCCAATAATAACAAACCGAATTCCTTGCTAAATAGTTAAAGTCGGGCTCTGAGGATAATTTACTTTATCTTCCAGTTAACAGCATTTCTTAGCACAGGAGACTTGTGGATTCAGATTACTACTTAAAAAAAATCAAATTTAGAGCCATATAAAATGTACTTTGCTAATACTTGCTTGTAAAGGATTTTAAATACACAACAACAACAACAAAGTAAAGCAAAACCAAGAATGATTTGAGAAGGAGAGCAGGAATTGTTGTACATGCATGGTCCCTCTGGCCTCTGTATTATTATTTTACTCAAAGCTAGACTTTGAGAGGTCAATCAGGGATTTTGTAGTTGTGTTTGCTTTGTTTTGTTTTTGGAACAAGTCCTTGCTACGTTGCTCTGTTGACCGGGCTGGTCTTGAACTTCTGAGCTCAAGGGATCCTTCTTTCTCATCTTCTTGGAACTACAAGCACATACCACCATGCCTGGCAATCAGGTTTATTTTAAATCCAAAATTACAATAGTTAACAATAGTAAAAAGAAAACAAAATGTTTCCCAAGGGGTCCTAACTATCACAATGATTTCTGTTTTGTAACTTATCTTTAATTTGTGCATTTTTCACATATTCATAGTCATGTCTTGCAAATAATTCCATCTTTTTCCTCAAAGCCTTAATGTAGCAAATAACTTTCTTTATGTGAGAACTGAGATATTTACTTATTAATTAGATACAGAAAATAGCAGAGGGAAAGTAAGAATGGCTTGGTCATCATGTACTACACAAACAAATGTTAATAAAAGATTTCAAAGCATATCCCTGGGTGTTTTTTTTTTTTTATGCTCTTCAATTCCTGGACTGTTGCTTTTCACCCCCCATTTTTTTTTTTTTAACTGCTACATGTTTTCTTGCCTAAAGCACCTAGTGTTCTCCAATGACCTGGATTTTAAAAATTAGCTTAGACATATTCTGTGCAAATAAGCAAACTCACAGAATCACTATTTTCTACTGTCCTGTTGGCTTTTCCTTTTTTTTTTTTTTTTTTTTGCAAATTAACAGAAAGAGCACTGTGTGAACCAGGCCCTGGTTTTCCTACTTTCAGGAGCTTTGGGGGCAAGTCGTTCAGCTCTTACAAATCTTATTAATTGTCCTAGAAATGTGAGTTACAAATACTAATTTAATTTACCTCACAAGGTTATTGTGAGGACCCAAAGAATCAACTGAGGCCAGGAGCAGAGGCGCATCCCTGTAATTCCAGCAGCTTGGGACGCTGAGGCAGGAGGATCGGAGTTCAAAGCCAGTCTCAGCAATTTAGTGAGGCACTAAGCAACTCAATGAGACCCTGTCTCTAAATAAAATAAAAAATAGGGCTGGGGATGTGGCTCAGTGGATGAGTGCCCTGAGTTCAATCCTGGGTACCAAGTAAATAAATAAATAAATAGGATCAAGTTAGAAAAAGACTCCAAAATTTTTAATACAGAACACAAATGTAAACTATTGCATAGAACCAAATTATTTATTTATTTAATTACTTAACTTAATTAAACTTAAGTTTAATTGCCTTGGCTTTTCCCATCTATCACTTCTAAGTAGCTCAAGTTAATTCAAATAAACAATTGATATATGGGGTGACATGTGTGTATGTATCATTCTGGCCACAGAACATACTGAGATATAATATTATAATTCATTGCATAGTACCATGATGTACAGGAAATGCTTGAAATTTGAATAGGTGGGCTACTTTTTTTCCATTTAGTTTTAGAAAGAGGCACTGGACTCTTATGGAGGTGCGTACCATATTATAAACTTCACAGAAATTTGCTTCATTATCTTTTTGTCACTTATGTGGAAGTGATTTCTCTCACAGCACAAAGACGGCTTTCCTGAGCATGTCAAATGAATCTATTTTCTCTTCTCTTTAAAAGAGAAAAATGGTAATCTTCTTTTATTCTATGTGAACAGGACTGATTTCATACTGGCATTTTCCCAATCAAAATTGTTTTATTTTGAACACAAAAGCGAATTAATCAGATCTCTTATCTTGAAATTACTTGATGAAATCATGGCACTTATCTTACCTCCAAAGGAATACATTTTAGTGTTCTTTGGATTTTCATTAGAAAAACTCAACTTGGGTTAGATATTAATAAATGTAATATCAAGTTGGAATGGAATAAGAGGGGACAGTTGACCTTGAGGTTCATGGTGCTTAAAAAATAAACAGCCACTAATTATTTGACATTCCTAACATTGAACAAGTTTATCTATGGCTGGGGGTATAGCTCAGTGGTAAAACAGTTGCCTGTCATGCTTGAGACTCTGGTTTCAATCACCGCAGAGAGAGGAGTGGTTAGGAAACCAGGAACTGCTTTAATGGAATGTAGTGGAAGGAACACCATATGATTTCCCAAACTAGATCATAAAATGTTATGCTCTCTGACACATTCTCTTGGGATACTCTCTGTGAGGCAAGCTGGACATCATCTAAGAAGTCTACTATCCTGAGATACCATACTGGAGAGCTCTCTTTGATGAGCTCCAAATAGGATCCCAGCTGAGCTCCCAGTCACAAGTCAGTCTCCAATGAAGTTATGAATGATGCTTGGGAATACCCAGCCCAGATGAGCCCCCAGGACTGCAGCCCCAGCTGAAATCTACAACGGGGTGGCAACTACATGGGAGAAACCCAGGGAGAACTGTGTGGCCTAGCCCTTCCTTGACTCCTAACCCATAAAATTGGGAGGAAAATAAAATAGTCTATGTTCATTTTTTACAGAAATATTAACTAGAAAGTAGCTCACTAATTAATTTAGGGGAATCTTAGGTAGATGATAAGGGTAATATACAATTTTCAAGTGACCAAACTTCTTATTGCTGGTATTATTATTCATTAACCTATGATCTATCCAAAACATCATTTAATGCCTTGGTTCCTTTGTCTGTTAAATGAAAATATTTGTTATTTAGAGTTATTTCAAAGTTAAAATAACAATACATGTAAAAAACTTCTTCCCAAAAGGAATAAGTATAAAGCATTATCATTATCCTAGATCTAATTAAAACTTATGTTAGCATCCTTTAATAAAGATTTTTGTATACTTTTTGGCAAGTTAAGTTTTCAAAGAAATATTTAAGGTATTTTCTTATTTTCCCTAATAATGTGTATTGTTAGATTGAGAGAGTGAGTGAAAAGAATACAAATTCTAGTTAAAGCACATGAAAGCATATGCCCATTTAAAGTTTCATGTTCTTTCCCGTTTTTCTTGTGTGATATTACTCAGCATGATGTATTATGGGGTTTAGGGGTGATTTGTACTCATCATAAAATTTTCCCTCAAAATTATTAGAGTCCATTTTGTGATGCTTAAGACTGTCTGAAAGTCATTTATCATTCAGAATTTATGATAAAACCACTGTTAGGCAGCTTCTAGACACTCAGTCATATTTACACTTCTGGAAAGCAACGTAGTGAAGAAACATTTAGGAAGGGACCTTGATGCTTTTATATTGTGTGCTATTGTGGTAAATATCATTAATGCTAGAACTTTTCAACATCAATCCTATTAAGAATCAACTGCTAAGATATCTTAAAAGCTGTATTTCTATATTTCATTTCCGACTGTTTTCTTCAGATTGTAAAGAAGCTTTTTCTAGCAAGCCATGGTCCTTGATGTGGCCTTGGAGTGTACTGTCTAAGTCATTGACATTTGCTAAGGTCTTTCCAGAGATGAAGGCTACCTTCTTCAGGTTTTATGTTTGGGAATTATGTGCATATTCAGCTGGATTTCTTTTTCTGCACAAGGAGACTTGCTGTGCAAATAAATTGGAATGTCCCCCAAATAAGTCTCAGTGGTCTGAAAGCCTGCTCAGAAAAGGCAGTTGTGCTTCTTTGCCCAGATGGGTCATATTACCATTTTCTAGAGCCATAGATTTACACAGGACCAAGAGCAGATGCCCTGAGTTCTTATGATCCCAGTGATATCCTACATTCAGGTTGGTGGTGAGTACCTCAGAGAATCTACTGTCCTGGTCCATATGCCTCCTCTTTCTTAAAGCAATAAGGAAAAAGAAAGAAACAAAACCACTTTTGTCTAGAAACTGTAAGACAGTCTCAAGTCTCATTTTTGAAGACTAGAAGTTATGTAAGTGCTACGGTTTTCCAGCATCAAAGTCAATTTTTTAGTATAAAATATTTAGATTGTGAAACTTTTCTTGAAAAAAAAAATGAAGTAAAGGCAAAAATTACGGAGCACCTCAAATGTTTTTCTCTTTTCTCTTCTGTTAACTCTACCTCCAGTGTAATTAATCTCTCATTGACAAAAATGTCTATATTCTTCTAACTGTTCTCACTGTTGGATTGTCCTTACCTGCCATTGTCTCTGTTGTAGCCTTATTCTTCTTCCAATGATCCACTGAAATTCTGATTTCTAATTCTTTCCACATGTTCCCCAAGACAATTATCTTTTCCTCAGATATATCTTCA